TTCCAAATTTGAGCAAGGCTTGAAGCTGGAATAGGCAGAGAACTGAGGGTAAAGGCTGAGAGCACAGCCATTTTGGAGAGTCTTAGAACAAGGAATTTTCAACTCATAGCTCACAGATGGCAAGTTGGGAATTAAACTCTCCATTGTAACATTGCTTCCAGTTATGAGGAATTGACTGGTGAAAATAGTCAAAGTTAAAGTGGAGGACAGTTGAAAATGAGGACCTCTGGTTGGAGAGGGAAGAATGGTGCTGCCTGCAAGGCTAGGAAACCTCATTTCTAGTCACTGGTTCTAGGCAGTGTGAAGTTGTAGGAAACTGGATGGCTCAAAAGACTGGAACGCATTTAGTTAGGCTTTCATTTTCCCTTTCATGACCTGTTCCATGGTTTCAGGAAGCCTCAGGCTGCACAGCACAGAGGGGAATGGGCTCTAAATTCTATGGCCTCTGGGTTACTGATTTCCATCCATCTCCAAGGCTAGAGTATAGGGATAGACCTGAGATTGAACAATGACGTATGTGGAGCATTTAAATTTTGGTGGCAAAACAACTGAACCTCATTAGAAGTTTGGAAAGACTCAGCCTTGCTCTAAACTTCTGCCCCAAATATCCTCCAGCAGCAAATAAATGCTTGTTGCTATTCCCAGTTGGAATACAGAGCTTTCTTGTCTGCCACCAGCTACAGAAAGTGGTGTGCATTAGCAGGCCATCACAGTTGTCACTGATCCTTCATCATCTACTGGCCAAGGATAAGGGTCACAGGACCCGGCTCTGTCTTTCTCCTTCAGGTTGGTTCACATTTAAACAATACATATGTAGGGCAGGGTTACCAGCACTCTTGCATTCTCCTGCAGGTGCAGGGAGCGTGTGAGGACTCTGACAACGAGCTCTTTGCTAGAGTGGGTGGGCAACATGAGGGGGCATCTCTGGCTGTGCTGGCAGGGTGGAATGTAGACCGGACTGGCCCTGTTTGCTGTGCTCTTCAGACATGACACTTAGGGGATCTGAGGCATCTCCCTTCTTCCTCAAAACAAAGGGAGGTGTCCTAGGGGAACAGGGAACCTGTGGTGTAGAGACAACCAACCACCACAGGTAATATGCAACATTTGAATGAATAAGGAGTCAGAGCCCTGTTAGTAGGGCTTGGGCTCTTAATTCACTCAAGCTTTTTGCAAAATCTTCTTTCAAGTGTGCAGTGTCCCCTGATCCACTTTTGTCTCTCCATTCCCTCCCCCACTCCAGATAACTCACAGTTGCCTTTCTTTTCACTGCAGAAACCAGGAGTATTTGACCAGCCACCTGAACTCTTCCCAAGGTAAGAGTGAAACATAGGGCTGCACTCTGGAACCACCAGAAAGAATGGTATTATTACAGTGCTATTACTATAGAAGACTTAACAGCTCTTGCTTGGTCATCAGCTCTCCAGCATGGTCTTTCCAGACCATTTTGCTTGATGTGACCTGTCTCCTTTTCCCTTTCAGAGGTACCAACCCCTTTGCCACAGTCAAGCTACGTCCCACGATCACCAACGATCGCTCTGCACCCATTATCCGATGAAGTGGTCATGCAGGGAAGAGGAAGGCATAGGAGTGACGGGCTGCAACCCCTATTGGGCAGTGACCTCATGCTACTGCTCACAGAACGACCTCTCTCCCTCCCTTCCCTCTGGGACATGAGGATCTGTCTCATGGCTGTCTGGCATGCTGTAGCCAACAGCAGGCCCTCTTTGGATTGCCCTCCACCCCTGTGTGATGTTGTTGTGCTTGAGTGGGAGAAGCCTGGTGATGGTGGCCTGAGGGGTGGTGGTGGGGAAATTCTGATGGTCTGGGAGAAGTACACTTGCCAGATTTTGCTGCTGGAAAAATGAATCCCAGAGGGAGGTGGCTGCCACAAAGCTGCCAGTGATGGGACTTGGCTGAAGGGCTCTTGGCCCCTTTGTCAGCCATGTTGGTTTCAGCCCCTCTTCACCACTAGCTGACCCCTTCCCTGGCCAGTCAGCTCCTGGGCACAGGGAAGGAGGTGATGGAGCCCAGTGTCACTGTCCTACCCTTCCACCAGTTGTCCTGTGGAGAAAACATTTTGAAATAAAACAAACCATGCTGCTTCCATAGCTGTTCCAGCAGCCAGGCCTTTGCTGTGCTCAGAGGGCATGGAGAGGAGGACGTGGCTCCCCTAACAGCCAGGGGATGGGGGCTGCTTGACCCTCTGCCAGGCCTCACCAGCCAGCCCTGGCTCTGCTGTCACTGGAGGGCAGCACAACCCTGCTTCCTGGTCCCCTCAGCGCCTGGTAGGCCTCAGGCTGGAGGATAAGGCCTGGCGGCCATCTTCTTAGACCCCGCCATCCCGGCCCTGTAACTGGGCTGCCCTCCCTCCCAGGAAGGGAGCGCAAGCAGCCCAGGCCTGAGCCGATTAACCTTATTAATAGAAATTAAACCCTGGCTGCGAGCGCTGCCAAGACCTGCGGGCCCCGCATGTGCCTCCTTCCCCACTGATGGGGCACAGGGACTAAGAGGCTTGGGAGGATTAACGTGTGGGCCCCAAAACCCTGCCCTCGAGCCTGCAGGGGAATGGGCTCCCCTGTGTGTGGCTGGGAATCATGGTGGCAATCGAATGGCACCCATGTAGGGGTTTTGTTTTGGGGAGGATGCTGAGGGTGGGATGGATGTCCCAGCAGCTCTTCCAGCCATGGACGATGGCAATCCCTCAGCTGCTCCACCTGATCTTCACTCTCTGCTGGGCATGTGCCCCTTGGCTTTGCCCCAGTCCAGAGCATGGAAGAGGTAGTGGGCACCTGGGGGCACCCATCTCCTGTTTTGCTCCTCATTGAAACATGGATCTCTGCTATGTTCTCCCCCTGCACCCAGTGTCCTGCTCAGCCCATCACAGCACTCCTCTTCCTCCTTTGTCCCCTCCCAACCTGCCCAGTTCTGCTGGGAGATCAGTGAGGAGCCCCTTGGCAGGCTATGGGATTACTGTGGGATTCGGGCTGCGACAGGCAGCTTCCTCCCTATTGGCTGGAAAAGCCTCTTAAAAGTGGAGAAGTGCGTACTGCACGCTCAGCACCTGCTGGTCTTGATCAACCTGAAGCCATAATCAGCCACTGACCCACATCCACACTGCCTGCATCCACCCAGAGGAGGCAAGGTGGTCCCTTGCGTGGGGCATCCCTTCTGCAGAGGGTGGCATTGGAGCTGGAGGAAAGCAGGCTGAAAGGGGGATTAGCTCTGCAGTGAGGACGTGGCTGCTGAAGAAAGTAGCAGGGCACAAGAGACTCCTGCAGCTGTCACCCTGTGCCCTGCTGACGGCGTGCCCACCATGGAACGAAGAACCTGCGGGGCCATCTGACCGGGCACACTCGTCCAGAGCCAGGGAGTACCAGTTGGACTGACCTGCTCGGTCTCTGGGGTCACTGGCACTCATCGCTTCATTGCACAGGTCAGTGATACAGAGGGGTGCTCGCATCTGAGCACACATTACAGCTTCTGAAGGCCTGTACTCATTTCACTCTTTAGTGAAAGCTTTCCCATGGTGGTTTTTGTAGGCTACTGGCAAAAACTGTGGCCTTTTGCATTTATTAAACCCTTCCCAGCCTATCCAAGAGACATCCTCATATCTGTGTGCACGCTCCTGGATGCTGGTAGTGGTGCAGCTTTCCTGGTACAATGGGGTTTTTTTGCAGTGGCCTTCACCTGGTCAGGGGTTGGTAACTTCTGGTGCTGGTGCAAGTCTCCTGACCTGGAGCTAGACCTCTCCAGCTGCAGCTAGACCCGTGGCAGTGCTCACTATGGGCCTACCTGCATGCGATGCCCAGGGCAAGTGCTGCTGCCTGTGCTGATGAGCTTTAGTGTAGGGTATTTTTACCCATGAATAAAGCTCCTTAACTGTGGAGAAAATAATAGCAAGCTGTAGCGTATGCAGAGGCAGGTACAGGGTACATGGTGTGACCACCATGTGCAGCGGTGAGCAGAGGAGCCCGCGTGCGCACCGGGGCGTTATGATTGAGACAGCTCTGAACCGCCTGCTCAGAGCTGGGATAAAGCTCCAGCAGAGCTGTGCTGCAGCACGTTGGCTTGGAGGGAGCTCCACGTGTGAGCTGCTCAGCTGCACCTCATCTTTGTCGGTCAGCATAGAGCTGCAGCCAGGTAAATGCTCTTTCATACCTTGTTGTATAGGTGTGTTGTGCCATGGAAGGGGCTGCTGCAGGACCCATCCAGCCCAGGCTCAAGCAGTACCCGTGGATATTTGTCTAATGTGCTCAGATGCTGTTGATTCATCACTAACAGGTGATGCTGTGGAAATCTCTGAAATGATCCCACAGATGGACAAATGTTTTCTTGCTGGGAAGATGAAATGCAAAGGGTCTAATTGATTGACTTGATTTGCGGCACAGGACAGGAGCAAGAAGAGTGAGGCTGCAAGAGGGGCTCAGGCAAAAAGGGTTGGGATATGCTTGGTGGCAGCCGCTCTTATTTGAGGTGCAGTGGATGTAGTGGTGGTTGAGGACAGCACTGATGAGCCATTGCACTTTTGCAATGGGTCAACTTTTGCTTGGCTGTAACCAGGTTGGATTAGGAGAGGGGGAAGGACAGGTAAGGGCTGAAGCTGAGTTTAGTGGGCAATACTGATGGTGGGTGGATAGTTGGACTAGATAATCTTGGAGGACTTTTCCAACCATAATGAGTTGATGGGGCTGTGGGGCTGTGCTCAGTCTGATTGTGCTGGTTCCAGTGATCAGAATACCACCAGAAAGGGGTGAGGAGAAGGTATGTGTGTTTGTAGAGTGTGTAATTAACTTTTTCATGCTAGCAATGAGTCTTTTCTTTTTTTTGCAGGCTGGTCTCAATTCATGCCTCTGCCCATTGACACAGTCCCTGAGAGTTATTAGGGTATTGCCACCTGCAAGAGCTGCCTCAGTCCTCCCCTTTTTTGTGGCTGATGGGGTCCTGAAGGTTGGGACTGCTGTGCTGCAGTGTACTGTGGCTGTGGCAGACACTGGGTGCTGGCATAAACAAACCCCAGGAGGAGGAAGGAGGGAGACCACTGGGGTGGCTGATGACTCTTAATCCACCTTAACTTCTGCAGGTTAGCCTTGGTCAGATGCCTGATTAAAGCCATCAGCCAAGACCATTTGGTGTCATTTTGTGTGCTGACACCTTCTGATACTACTGGGGAGTAGCAAATCAAAGATCAGTGATAACTTTGCATGCAGGTGTGAAAATAAGCTCTGATGCTGAAGAAACTGAGGTAGTGCTTGGTGTTGGAAGGGGTATGGCAGAAACTCAGTACCTAGGGGAGAAATGAGAAATACATTCTTACAGCAGCCAACTGGAGCAAAATTCTTGTGCAGCTTAGGAGTCCTGAGAGCAACTCACAAGACATATCCTCTAATTCCCTCCTTCTCCCCCCCTTTGACTTTGTTGTGGCCCCTCTGGATAGGTATGGAGCCCTAATCTCTCTGGCACGCAAATAACCACTGCCACAGGTTTGCCATGCTCTCAACCTTCACCCATTTTCCAGGTGTGGTCTCTTGTAGCAGGGAAAGGAACATGAGGGCTGTATACGGAGGACATGGAGGGAGACCTTGTAGTAAATGTTTGCCTGCTATGCTTTTCTCTTGCAGAATCTGCAGATCTCTTGCTGTCTCCCTGTGTCACCCTACCTCCTCCCGGCCTGCCTTTCCCCACCCAGGCTAGACAATGGGGAGAGCTGACCCAGAGGAAGGGCAGCTCCCAGCTCCTGTGAAGCCCCCAGATGGTGGCTGGGGCTGGATCGTTCTCTTTGGCTGCTTTGTGATCACTGGCTTCTCCTATGCCTTCCCGAAAGCTGTCAGTGTCTACTTCAAGGAGCTCATGAAAGATTTCCATGTGGGCTACAGTGACACGGCCTGGATCTCGTCTATCATGCTGGCCATGCTCTATGGAACAGGTGATGCTTGGATATAACTCTCCCTACCCAACCTGTGCCTCCTCTGCCCTTACAGAGTTCCAAACCATGTCCCTATGAGCACACTCAATGGCCTCATCAGGAACCAGTGTGCTGAAGACAGTTCTCTTGCTGCATTCATCTAGATGTGTGGTACACTTCATGTCTCTATCATCTCCTTTGCCCCAGGAGATCTCTGGGGTCACCCTGCTGTCCATGATGTTTGCTGAAGCACCAAGTCCTTTATTGTTCCCAGAGAACAGGGAGCTGAAAGCAGGGCATGGCAAAGATCTCCACACCAGGACTTCCATCCCTTGGCCAGGGCCAGGGACTGTGTAGCTAAACAGCCAAGCAGTAATCTCTGCCGTTAGAGTTTCATCTTCCCCAGTGTCCTGTTTGGGCACACTGCCCCTTCCCACATGTCCTGTCTATCTTCTCCTTCTGAAATCCTACTCTATCTTCTCTGCTTCCTCCCAGGACCAGTATGCAGCATCATGGTGAACCAGTTTGGCTGCCGGCCTGTGATGCTCATTGGAGGTCTGCTAGCTTCCTCTGGGATGATTCTGGCATCTTTTACCACCAACATCATTGAGCTTTATCTGACAGCTGGTGTGCTGACAGGTGAGAACCCCAGGAATAGGGGGGCACACCGATGGAAGAGCCAAGAGTGCACTGTATCGCCCTTTAGCATTGCCATGTCTGGCATCAGGTCACCTCTCAAACTATTTACACGTGCTCACAGGAGGCATCTAGTCTTGAATGTTGCACTGTAGGAGGTTTATCTGCTGAATGTAAACAGTCAGGAGAGAGGGACAGAAGAAAGGCAATCAAAGCCCAGTGATCACGGCAGTCGGAGTGGCAAGAATATATAGTGGTATTGGGACAAAGATCCTGTTTAAGGCAGAGATCATGTCTACATGTGGTCACAGATATTAGATTCAAATACAGTTCCAATAGACAGGCTGTTAGCCCATCTTTTCCAGTGGAGAAGAGGCTTGTGGGGAAGGACTTCAGGACTAGGGCAGTTTAGGGTGGGTTTTTGCTTGTTGTAAGACATGTCTCACCTCCTTGCACTCCGTCCCTCTCTCCCGGCTCTCACCCTCTCATAGGTCTGGGTATGGCGTTGAACTTCCAGCCCTCACTGATCATGCTGGGCACCTACTTTGACAAACGTCGGCCTCTTGCCAATGGACTGGCTGCTGCCGGGAGCCCTGTCTTCCTTTCCTCCCTCTCTCCATTGGGGCAAGTGCTGCTGGAGAAGTTTGGTTGGCGAGGAGGGTTCCTCATCATGGGGGGCCTTCTACTCAACTGCTGCACTTGTGGGGCAGTCATGAGACCCCTGGATACAGGCATGAAGAGGAAAATGGAGAAAGTTCAGGACAAATATGAAGCCAAGGAGATGCTGCCCATGGGAGGCAAGTCAGAGGAGGGCATCAGCACCACTGATGGAACCAAGAAAGCCAAGAAAGCCAAAAAGAAGCCCAAGAAAGGAAAGAAGCTGTTGGATTTCAGCATCTTTTCCAACCGAGGCTTCATCATTTACACTATCTCAAAGTTCATCCTGGTCTTGGGTCTCTTCGTGCCCCCCATCTTGCTGGTCAACTACGCCAAGGACACAGGAGTACCAGACACAGAGGCCGCATTCTTGCTCTCCATCATCGGTTTCATCGACATCTTTGCCCGGCCAGCGTGTGGCATGGTGGCAGGCTTGAAGTGGGTCCGCCCTCACGTGGCATACCTGTTCAGCTTCTCTATGCTCTTCAACGGCTTGACAGACATCTGCAGTGCCAGGGCTAGCAATTACACGGGGCTGGTCATCTTCTGTGTCTTTTTCGGCATTTCTTACGGCATGGTAGGGGCTCTGCAGTTCGAGGTGCTGATGGCCATCGTTGGCTCCCAGAAGTTCTCCAGTGCCATCGGGCTGGTCCTACTTATCGAGGCTTTTGCTGTGCTCATTGGTCCACCCTCTGCAGGTAGGTCTTGTGCTGCAAAATGCAGGTGGTTAGTTTTGCTGCCATCCCACAGTATTGTTGGTATTGGATGTGGTCACAGTCCTTGAATAAAGGCCTCACTTCTCAATTTCAAAGTTCCCCTGAAAGCTCTCTGAAGTGAGAGCTCCTGGTCTGCCTTCATGCACTGCAGCTGAGCCAGGGAAGAAAATGGTAAGTGATATTTCCTTCTGCTTTCCTGAGAGATCTCAGCAATGGCAGGCATACAGAATGGCACGACATCTAGAGTCCCTCAGTCCTCATCGGTGACACTTCTCCCTCTTTCATGCTGGGATCCATGTTTCTGTCTTCACTGTGAACGCTGCATCAAATCATGTTGTGGTTAGGGTCAGGCACATTTTGCAAGCAATCCCGTGAGAGTCTTCAGGGGGACAAGATTATTTCAAATTCTCCTTGATGTCTGTGGCATTTTGATTGATGCTGTGAATGGTGATTTCAACTTGCATTAGCCCCAGCCCAAGGTACCAGCATGTTGGTGTCAATCAAGGCTGCCAAAACGGTCTGTATAGCCACATGAAGCATTTGCTGTTACAGTGTTTTCCATGCTGGCCTGCCCTCTTACATGTTATTTGACAGAGTTTAAGGTCAAATGGTTTCTTGTATAGAACAGGGTGTAGGAGACTACTGTGGATGAAATTTCTCCAGGTCAGGAAACTTCAAGAATGACGAGGGGAGTCTGAAGACACTGAGGCAGCAAAGCCAGGACACACAGAGCAGGTAGTGGAGGCTGTATCTTCAAGGCCACCACCCCACACATCAGTCAGTGGTCAAACGACTGTGGGCCATCATGGGGGGTGGGACTCCCTCCTCCGTTCACCTGTGCTTTGGCACTGTGTGAGTACAAGCTGGGACAGAGATGGAGCAGGGTCACTGATGGAGCACAGTCACATGGACTGGGGGGCTCCTATTTCCCCACCCTGGAGGGACTGCTGCAAGATCTGCTTGTATATGAGCTTGAGGGTGCTTGCAAACCCCATAGCTTGGACTTGGCACAGCCGCTTGACTGAAAGAAAGGGCTTGAACAAAGTGTCTTTGTTTGGTGTAATCCTCCTGAGCTGTTTCCCCCTGTATGGGGCTGAGGGGCTCGCTGTAGGATAAGCTGCATACAATCCACACTTGCTGTCCAGTTGGGGTGAAAGGGGCACATTCACCTGCTAAGGAATTCGCTGTTTGTGAATGCAGGGCCGGTTTCATTACAGCCGGGGCCAGGGGTCACATCTGCTGGCAGGAGAATGCAGGACTGGGATGAAGCTTTTGGCCATCACAGCCCCATCTCAGCTTGGCAAATGCTATCTTACAGTGGGATTACAGTGGAACTCTCTTTCCATTGTCAGCCTTGAGACATTTGGGAGAACATAGGATTGTAGAAAGGCTAGGGTTGGAAGGGACCTCAAAGAGCACCTAGTTCCAACCCCCCTGTCATGGACAGGCTGCCAACGACTAGAGCAAGCACTAGATCAGATTGCCCAGGGCCCTATCCAATCTGGCCTTGAATGCCTCCAGGAATAAGACATCCACAGCTTCCATCCACAGCTTCTCTGGCAGTCTGTGCCAGTGCCTCAACACCTTCTCTGTGAAAGAAGAAATAGCTCTTTGGCAGAGGTGTGTGCCCTCCAAGGAAGCCTTGTCCTCAGAGGCTGATCTCATCTTGGCAAGAAGATGGCCCATCACAGCCTGACACCATGATATCAGTGCGTCAGCATTGCTTAGCCTTGTCAGAGCATGGGAAAGCACCAAACCCACACTCTTAAAGTAGTGACCTTGGTGGCACAGCATGACTCCCGGTTGCCCATCTCCTTACCCAGGATAATTTCAGATATCCAGGCTTCCTGCTCTTCCTTTCAGAAATGGGTCCCCAGGTGCTGCCCAGCGGTGCTGGTCTGTCCATCCAGGAATGCTTAGACTGAGGCTAACCTCCTTGTTTCTTCTCCAACCTCCAGGCCGCTTGGTTGACGCCCTCAAGAACTACGAGGTGATCTTCTACTTGGCAGGCTCAGAGGTGGTGCTCTCCGCTCTCTTCCTGGCCATGGCCACCTACTGCTGCCTGAACCGAGGGAAGAAGACACCTCCCCCAGAGAAAAACCCTTCGGCAGGTGGTGGGAGTGACACTGAAGAAGCCGAGTCTGATGTGCAGGAAGCCGAGGAGCATAGCAGCGATAACCACCAGCCAGCCCATGGCACTGACAAGGCCATGGTGGCAGCCAGTGAGGAGGCCAACCATGTGGAGGATGAGCAGAGTGGGGAGGGAGGCAGGTGTCCTGAGGCGGATGGGGAGGTGTTGGCACGAGCTGGCTGCAATGCTGACCAGACAGTGGAGAGGGACAGTTTTTAGCCAGGAAAGAGAAATGGGGATGTAAATTACTGGCCTGGTTTGTGTGTAACTCAGCGTGGGAGTGTAGATGGAATGTGGATTGAAAAAAAGACAAAAGCAAATGTAAGAGATAAAAGGGTGAAAGACTAAGAATAGCTGGTCCTCATGTACATATGTCCACATACCTACACAGAGATATGTCTACTTGTGTCCTGCACCATGCTGGTACAACGCAGGCTCAGTGCAGCCCAACCACCAGAATCTTCTTCCCCCTACCTCCAAACCAGCCCTGAAAAATATATTTTGAAGAGGCTGCGAAGGACTCTCCTTTTCTTTCTGCATTGTCACAATACAGAACACAATTAGAGACTCTTTGTTATCATCTCTGGTATGCTCTGGTCTGGTGTCAGTGTTTCCTTTACGCCATTCCCAGGGTCGGGAATAGCAGGATAGCACAGTCCTGAATGGCACAGCTCTTGGAAGGACCAAGGGCAGCTGCCGTACCTAGTCTGGGCTTGCCTTGCTCCTGGGACACACAAACCAGGGAGTTTGTAATAGTCATGGGAGCAGGCATGCTAGGCAAGCCGGGAATAGGTTTAAGAGATGCTGTAGCTCATAGCTATCACTGGGTCATGTCCTGCTGCAGCCAGCAGCAGCAGGAACCTCAAGCAGGAACCCCTGAGGAGGTACCTCCTCAGGGCACTGCTGAACCAGTGGGAGCACTGGCTGTGATCACCTCCCTCTTGAGCACCTTCAGTGGGCAGTAAAGCTGGGGCGGTGGCACATAATGGCTCTTCCAAGCTGCTACCAAAGCGCAAGAAGGCGACACCTCAAAAGGGCTAATGCCACTAAGCAAGCCCCGCAGCACGGAGCTTTGCTGCCAGGAATAGCAGTGGCAGCTGGGGGTGGGGTTGTCAGTGCAGGTAAACATCCCTGTCCCAAGCACTTATCCACTCAGCAGGAATGGCACAAGATGCGCGCGTGTGTGTTTTCTTTTTTAATAGAGAAAGGCCTCTTACATAACAGAATCAAAGGTAAGGCAGAAAGACAAGCTGCGGCCTCTCGGGTGCCACCAATGAGGGTGGTGGGGCACGTGGCCAGGCAGGCGGGACTCCCCACCCCCTGCCCACAGTGGTGGATTTCTGCATTCAGGGAGGACAACCTTCCCTGGCATGCTTAAACCGCTCTTAATCTGCTTTGGGACCGGATCTTTTATAAACACCCTTGGCCAAAGCCCTTTCTTCCGGTTAGCCCTGGAGGAACCTCTTACTGCAAGGAGGGATCAAGACCTAAGCAGAACTGGTCTGCAAGGAAGGCAGAGCATGAGACCATCAGACAAGGTGGTCATTCCAGACAGGACTGACTGTTAACTGATGAGTAACAGGTGAAGCCAACAGAACTCACAGAGCTGTTTAAACCTAGCTGGGGCATAGGAACACGATGGAAAGTTTCTCAGGTGTATCTAGCATGAAGAAACCATAATCGATGAGTAAACTACAGTTGCTGGACGAGTGCCAGTTTAAGAACATGACCGACAAGAAGAGATAAAACAGAAATTGGGAGGCAAAACACAAACCCACGTAGGTCTGTGCTTGGTTCTACCATGGCTAATAGCGCTGTCATTAGTTCTAACTGCGAGCAAGTCACATCAATGTATTCAGGTGTTTTTGCTTTTTTTTTTTTTTCCCTTTCTCCTCTCCAAGCCCCCTTAGAAACCTCACAAATCAGACCAAGCACCACAAGAAATGCTGCATGCACAGCCCTGGGAGAACACGCAGCAGCAGCAAGAGTGATTGGAGCCCTGTGGGCATTCAGCCACTGCTCTGCAAACTTGTTCTTCCCACAAAAGGTAAGAGCACTATTTCTGCTCTGCGCAAACAAGCTGCTCCACAGCAACCTGTCCTCCAGACCCTGGTCTTCCTTACCCATCAATGCCACCTTCTAGAAGCAGCTCACAGCTTCCCAGAGGTCCAAGATCCACAGCCTCAAAATAACCACCCTTGTCAGCACCAGGCAGGTCCCTAGAACAACATCCCCTCTGTTTCCCTGTCACCGCTTCACATTTCCCACAAGCCTCCTCCTCTTAAATCTTTTCACAGAGGCAAATAACAGCCCTTAGGCTATGAGAACTTGCTGTAGACTGTGCTGTGAGATAGCCAGCCCTCTTCCTGCCCACTTTCTCTGTGATGGCAACCACCACTGCTGGGTAGTCGCCAGAAGACCTCAGGGGATGGTTTCATGCCAAAATCAGTCTCCTGCAGCCTCTGGTTCTGGCTCAGGCCCTAATGCATCCACTGCTCAATGCACACTGGCTTGTGCCACACAGAAGATTCTTTACTGAAGCACTTGCTTGTGTTTGGGGTCTTATTCAAGCAAGGACGACCATACTCATGAACACAGAGTAAGTTTAAGGGATGCTGCTGAGGCAGAAATGGGTGCCATACTTCTTCTGTACCACTCCCCAGAAGGCTAAAGGTGCTTGTTGTAAGCAGGTTGCAAAAAAAATGCTGCTGGGCTATGTTGCCCTCCACTTTCACACTGTTGACTTTCAGGCAGGTTCCACTGAAGCTTTTTCTGTTCCTCTGAACCACTCCACATTCTGGCACAAAAGAAAGAGGATCAGGGATTTGAGCATCAACTTACCTCTGGTGCAGAAGTTGAGCTATACAGAAAAGCTGGTCCCAAAGCAGCATAAGGACGACACCAGGCTGGTGTTTCCTTGGAAGCCAAGATGCAGAGAAACTGTTACTGCATGGAGGAATGGCCTTGCTACAGCATCTGTAATGTTCTTCAGGAAACCTGAGCATCCCGGCACAGAGACATCTGTGAGTATGAGCGAGGAAAAACTGACCAGCATAAGCAAACACATCTCTAAAGCAAAGCCAGGAACAACAGAAAACAAAACTATCACATTTTTTTTTATTACAGACAACAGTACACTTAGAGTCCATTTACATCCTCCAGGGCAGCTTGCCCATGGACAACTTTCTTCCACGAACCCATGGAGATAACGAGTCTCCAAAAATACAAAAAAAAAAAAAAAAAAGAAGAGAAAACCAAATCAAACTAAACATCTCAATCTTAAATTAATGCCTTTAAATAACTTCTCTCACTACCATTAGAATGTAATGACAGAGAAGTCAAACCCCTGGCCTCTGAGCAGCACACCACTGCCAGCAAGAAGTGTCATCTGGATCTGGGATCTGCCCACAAGGGTGGTGGAAGGAGAAAAGTAAGCTTTACCTTTCCCTCCTTCCCTTGTGCTGGGGAAGGTGCCATTAGCTTCTGGCAGAATGGAATGGGTGGGTAGAGAAGAGAGCAGTATTTTGTATGCTAATCATACTTCACACTCAGAATCACCATGTCTCTGTCACAGGCCTTATTTTCCCCTCTCTGCAGGGATTCCTGCCCCTCCTCACAAGTGTAAGGATAGAGCATCACCTTTGCAGTCCTAAGGTGGGTCCTCATGGCACCTGTACAAGAAAAGGAGTTTGCAGGTCTTACTGCACATCCTCAAGAAGCCCATTTGGTTACTATCCATTGCAAAGAGCAGTATGAGAGAACAAGAGAAAGGAAATGCATGCAGCTTCGCTCTTACTTTCAGGAACCTGACTCAAACACATTAACCTCAGCATCTCTCTGCTGACTGGGAGAACTTTCTGGTCTAGGGTCATCTTTACCACATGTGGCAGAGCTACATATTGGAGGACCCTAACCCCAGGGTATAGCTACGGAGTGTATAGATGGTGCTAGCTGTGCAGGAGCTCGAAAAATATGAAGAGGATAGCAGCCAAGGAAATAGTCTTGTAGATCCTTGCAGCAGTCGACCACCAGCCTCTTCCAGGACAGCTTCTCCCCCAGACCTCATGGCTAGGGGATGAACGCATCACATGTACCACCACTAGTTCTAGACATCAGCTCTGACTTGCTCTTATTTCTTCAGAGTGGTGCTGGAGAGAGTTGGTAGTGATCATCCTAAAAAAAATCCTGTCCCAGAGCTCATGGGATGTGCTCCAGGAAGAAAAGAGAGGAAGACTGAAATAAGCTAAAGCTTGAAGCATGAAGACAGCAAGCAGTGAGGTGAAGAAAACAATGCTGGTGCTTTTTCCAGTGGCACAAGGGAGGACAGGAGGAGACAGTTGTTCCATTTATAGTTATCTCCAAATGTTCAGCAGCCTTCCACATGCCAGAGAAAAATGGTGCATGCTGCACGCTCAGCTGTGCGCATGGAGTCACATGGCGATGTGGGAGGAGATTCTCTTCCCCACAACTCAGTATCCAAGTTGGGCAACAGAACTCTGCAAGGGAAAAAGGAATATCCAGGCAGGCAAGCAAATGAAGAGAGGAATGCAGAGGTCGGTTCCAATCCAACCAGCTACTGCCACCCAGAACAGAGGAGGAATCCCAGGCTGGACAACACAGACAATCATGAAGGATGAATCGCCATGTAAAATACATGTTTTCATAAGTCTGCAAAGTCATTTCCTCCGTGCCATACTGGCACATTCAGGCATCATCAATGAGCTTTTCACCATTTGCATCCTCCTTCCCACTACTCTCTCTCTCACTTCCTTCTCCTTCTTCTTCTTCTGCCCCGTCTGTGTACGTGTCCTTCTGCCCATAGTTCAGAGTAGTGCGGGCAAGGTCCACCTCAATGGGAAAGACGTCTGCGTCTCGGAGCACAGCATAGCAGTCGTCATAGTACTTGGACATTGTGGAGACAAAACGCTGGAGCTGGAACACGATGTCCTGCACTGCAATGGAAACACGGTGGGAACAAATCAGGTGAAACCCCTTCCCAAATGGTGCCAAGGCTGTGATCAAGACTCCCTCACCAGCAGGTGATAAAGACTCCCACTCGTTAGTCCCATGTGGTGCCTGAGCACAGATACCTCAGGTGTAGTCGACCATAGAACCACCAGGTTTGGAAAAGATTTCCAAGGTCATCCAGTCCAACCATTCACCTACCACCAGTATTTCCCCACTAAAACATGTCTCCCTTAGTACAACACATAAACATTTCTGGAACACCTCCAGGTGACTCCATCACCACCCTGGGCAGCCTGTGCCAGAGCCTATCCACTCCTTCAAGGAACAAATTTTTCCTAACATCCACCCTGAATCTCCCTTCCCTGGTCAACTCGAGGCCAGGACAGAAGACCCAAGAACAAAGGGTTCTTCAGCATAGACCATTAAGATGAATGAGGAGCACGAAGCCTGAAGGCTACAAATGCCTCACATATGCCTGAGCCTTCCAGGTGCTGGACACAGCAGTGGTACTCACCATGTTTCTGGTCTAGGAGCTCTATTTTCTCTAGCACATCTTTCCTCATCTTGGCAAAACGTGTGCGAGCCTCCTGGCGGCAACGCAGGATAAGGCGGTACTCGTAGTTCCCAGTGCTGACTCGGTAGAGGGGCTCACCCAGAGCCTGCCAAAACACAGCACCATTTCAGAGACTCCCACAGCACTGCCTGAACACACGGTTTGCATACCCATACAGACTTGCAGTGAGCTCGGGTATTACAGCCCTCTCAGGAACTGCAGTCAAGAAGCATGAAAGACTGTGAACGCAGCCACAACAGCAAGCTGGCAGTCATCGTGGCCATTCTCAAGACCAAATATGCACCAGCCACAGTAAAGAAGGGTGCCACTATAAAACAAAGAAAACAGAACAGGCACCTTCCGAGTCAGCATAGAGAAGTGGAAGGGCTTCGTGACTGAACTATTATGACAGATACCATAAAAAAGCAAGCCTAGGGCCTGAGGGATGTATTAATTTACATTAATCACACAGCAAACTCTGAGCTTCGGTGCAAGTTGTATTCTGTACGGACTGCATCATGTGGTGTATGTCTCTACAGGGAATTCTGTGCTTTCTACAACCATCCCATCACAACATTTGATCCATTAGGGATGGGCCCACACACACTGTTCCACAAAATAGTTTGGAGGGAAAGGTGTTAGGTTTGTCAACTAAACAACATTCTTCACTTGCACTTGCAAATCTAACATAAAAATCCATGTTACTGAGTATGGCTTCATAATGCACACTACATATGCCAAAACCCAGAGATGTTACTCTGCTGACCAAGACTGGGACTCTTCCCTTCCCAACTAGCACCAGGGCTGTAATTAAAAGCTGTGTTAGGAAAGTTTTATTCATTCCTGCCATGGCAATGTAGGAATCACAATAAAAATCAAATCCCTCCTCTGAAAAAAATGCCTAGAATAAAACAGATCTTGCTTTTATGCAGGGAAACTGGGCATGTGGGGAGCACTTTTAGCTATCTTAAACAGAGCTGCTAAGGATGACAGATGTGAAAGTTTAAAACAGGCAGCAAACTGTTACTGGAGAATGTCAATGGGGGTTGGTTTTGGTTTGGCTTTTTTTTTTTGAAGCCTTCTGGCTTCACATTACTTATTTTTAGGAAAAAAAATATTCTTAAAAGAGATCCTTTAATCCATTTCTTCAATAACAAATGGAGCTTTCATATGCATTTTTTTTTGCTGAGAAGCTAACCCTCCATTTCTCAGAAGCAAGATTTAATTAGAATTAATGGTAAGCTGTGCACTAGACACAAATGGAATCTGTGAAGATAACACCTTAAACCTTCTTACACAAGCTAATATTACTTAAACACCAAGAGAGGCAACCACCGTGCACAGAGGCAGATAAGAGGACTGCTCCCTCTAGTATCCCACAGCATCCATGAGAGCTATGTCAGTTTCCTAGGTAGTGTTTAAGGATTTCCAGGTTCTAATATGATAAGAACAAATGGATGCAGCTCTTAGGATGTATTTGCTAGTGTGCCTGTGCATATCCAATTACAAGGCAGTGTGCACACAATCTACAGTAACAGAGAACGCAGTTTGCTATGCCACAGTACTCACAATGCAGCTGTATTCTTCATCATCCATCTCTTTGACTTTCAGGCAGTAAGACTTCACGGGATTTAAGAAAGAAAAAAAGCAGATAAGGGAATATTGAGGATTAGAAGCAATTCGACCACCGCTCACAGCCACAGAGTTGTATCATTTCAAGCCCTCCTTCAATTGCTGCAGCTAGGGATGGTGGGGAAAGCGCAGTGGGATCAGAGCAGATTCAGCACCCCAGGTGAAAAGAAGAAGTTTAAAGAAAACGGTGGGGGAGGGAGAAGGGTCTTATTTACATGAAGTATTTGCTCCTGTAATACCAGTATAATCCAGTAGGAGAAAAATCCTGCATTCAACTACTGTTTGGGAAAACACATCGCTGGGAAACCATGTGCAAAGTGTAAATAAGGAAGAGAAAAAAAGATGAGCTGTGGGAAGGATTGATGTGGGAAGAGAAGTTGCCATTTTCACTTGCCTTAGGGTGCAGTTCCAAATATTTCCCTCAGCTGATAAAAGCAAACAGATTACGACAGTTACAGAAAAGATGCAGTACACAACCCTACACTATTTTTGTTTTTTGGTGTAGAAAACAGGGTGTGAGTAGAATGGAAAAGGAAGAAGAAACAACAAACCATGGTCTAAACGAACGCAAACATAATTTGACAGCTGTCCAATTTGACTGAAGAAATACAGCCCCAAACTGGCTCCAAAACAGGGACTCTGGGACTGTAGAGCTATTCAGGGGTGTTCAGGAACACAAACTCAACCAGAATTCTTTACAAATGAATATGGAAATTAATTTGGTCAGATGGAAAGTAAGTCATCTGGATTCCGAGACACCCATTTTATTGGTGAGAACTGTGAGATCAAAAGGAGATGTTTGAATCAGAGCTATCTGTCAATAGACAAAGAACTGGGGGAGACAAAAGAAAGCCTTCTCATGTTAACCATGGAAGGATGCACACGTGATCGTGCAGACTGCATGTGATTCTCAGCCTACGATTCTAGAAAACGTAACTTCAACCAGCTTTAAAAAACTAAGAGCAGCTCACCAAATATTCAAACTTGACATCCAGGTATTTTTTGATGGTCAGCCTTGTGTCAGGAATGGCTTTATTCAGATACGTGTTCAAGTCGGTCAGCATCTGCAAGGGAAACATCCTGTTGCCAAACCTAAGTTTAAAAAGCATGACTACAATTCATGAAGTCCAACCTTCTAATGGGCACAGGTCATGAGACTGTCTCGAGTTAACTCTTCTTTGAACTAGAACACATTGGAAAAAGAATGTTTGATCTTGATTCAGAATTGTCATCGTTAGAAGACCATTACAGTTGCTAGTAAGTGGTTCCAATGCTAGAAAGGCACGCCTCGCTTCTAGTTTCTATTTGTCTGCTTTTAATTCAACTTGTTTCTTCTGTAATTAGCCCTGGAAATTGCTCTCCCAGACTCACAGATGAACTAACCAAGACTGTCCATGCAATACAGCACCTAAAGTAATGCTCAAATCAATATTTAATATCCTGTTTGCTAATGAAAATGAATGGATATCCCGACGGCTCACTCAAATTTGCTAAGCTCTCTTAAATGTAGTGACGTCTCTTAGTTATGGATACCAATACCAGGGAAAGGACTCCAGGGACTACACTGATCAAACCACCCTCCCAGCCCCAGTAGACAACAAGAGGCATGTACTCATGGGCAGAAGTCAAAGGGACAAGTCTGACATATTCCCTGCTTTAACTCTTTCGTTATTTATGAAGAGTTCTCTGAAGGAAAGCAACGACAGCCCTTCCCACAACAACTGATCTTTACGATAATACCTTCAAATACAGTCATCTGTCTTTCCAGACACCCTCCTTCTCCAGACCCTTTACTGGTACGGTTAAATTCTTTACCGGCTTAATCGTTTTCAGAAGGTGAATCCCAAACTTCTCAATGTTGCGATGGGCATCAGCAAATTTCACAAAAGCTTCACTGGCAGCTGGTTGAGGCTCCCGGACACCAATGACAGAAAAAACGTCTCCAAATGCTGGACGAGGGTAATAAATGCAAACAAATGGTAGAAGGGGTTGGCCCTGGAGAAGAATCACGCTTCCAATGCTGCAACTCCTTCCCAAAACCTTGCACTTAGCTGAGAGATGATGCTACGTATAACAGACTAGAGGTTGGCAGGGCATTTCTTCAATGTTTTGAGTGAAACACAGGCACTGTGTTAGCACCATGACTGCTAACACCAGGAGGACAGCCCTCCCCTTTCGTTTCTGCAACACTGTTTTCTTTGGGTGAAGGAATCACACCTTGAAGTATCAACTAAAACTCCTGAAACTGGAAGTTAAGGGCTTGTGCTCCCTTTGCTCACTTGTTACCTCTGTGCGTCTGGGAGAGCTCAAAGAAAGCTCTGAGAAGACTCTTGGTGTGTTCTGTCAAGCCTGTAATGGAAGACAGAAAAAGACATTTAAGTCATTTCACTGAAACATAATGTAGGCCTCTTTCCTCCCCACACAGTACCTGATGAAAGACACAGCTTACCTTTGTACAGTTCTGCAGTCCTCTCCAGCTCCTCTAATCTCTTCACCAATCCATCTAAATGTAAACAAGAATCAGGATGTTGAATTACAATAGTCAAATCCAGGACCTGGTTTAAGGCATGTCTGACTGGAAAACCACCAGCTTCCTATCTTTGGTTCAAACTTCTCTCACATCCAAAGCCTGTCCTATAGTCTAACATGGGAAGATTTTAAATTAACTGCAAACTGGTTTTACAGTGTGAGGTCACTGTCTATCAGCATTCATTACACGGGTTCCCACTAGAAATTAAATTGATCTTAGTTATCATTTAAATGGCCCCAAGGATATAATACACATCACCCATGAAGAGGCAATCACAACAACGAGGTATAGAAGGAAAGAACTGTGAAGTACTGAAGTGGGACATGTTAGTAATTATAAAAAAGGTGGTAAGCACAGGAAGGCAAGTGTTCCCTTATGAAAATGCCCTTGTGGGTGATACTCACCATTGCAAAGGATGGCTCGGCTTAACCCCAGGGCATCTGCTGTCCCTGAGCTCATGTTCTCCACCAGTCGATGCTTTACCTTCTTCAATACTAAAAGCCAAAAGAGAATGGCAAACCAGGATCAGGGTCATTTCTACAGGCATGAAAAGCACATTAGCACATTTCATCCATTTCTCAGATGCTGAATAAACTCACTAGCCCCAGTTTAACTTACTATTGAGCTAGTGAGCAGCCGAATACCACAGAAACTTCAGTCCAGCTGCTGTGTGGAGCACATCACTTACCTTGTCCATCTGTTCTGTTCTCACATCCTATATGCGTAAATCAGTAGAGGTCCAGCACTTCCTTTGGAAGGCTATGGCAATAAATCTCATTATAAGCTACCTATCATTGTATTTGTAATTGAATTTGCTGCACTACTTCAACTGAAGTTAGGATAAGAGGCTGAAAGCAAGGTGAGTAGGATTTAATGCTCAAAATTATTTTTGCCCACTGACATCTTATTTGAACTCTTTTGAGACCCAGTGATGACATTCGTTTCTCTCTTTGGTGGCCATACTCTGCAAATTATGCCCTTTTCAGCACCAGATGACTCAGCTACATTTATTTAGGGGCAAACTGGCAGGAATGTCAAGCACCTGCAGCTCCTAAGAATGTCAGCTGCAGCCTCAGTGTCCAAGATCTCTGGAAAATATTCCATACTCTTACTGCTCTTCTGTTTCACCAGAAATCCATGCAAGTTCTTATCATTTCCTGGAATCCTCATCTATTCACTGGGACATTAAATTAACCACCATTAAGAGAAATGAAAGTAACAACAGTACAGTATTCTTTTAGGAACATGAAAAATGCAGACCACATAGAAGAGACAACTGTATGGGCATAGTTCAAAACAGATACTTCATTCTAGAAACAAATCCTCTCCTTTTTCCTGTAAAACATATGACTGTACAAACCAGTGTAGACAGGTACTTCATCACAGTTCTAAAAACTGAGGAACAGAACTCAGTGTCTTTCAACAGACATTTCAGCATACAGCTGAAAAATCTCAACAGGTCAGCATAATGCACACAGTAAAAATAAACAGATCAAATGACTATCTAATTGAGTTTTGCTATCATTGCTCAATGCAACACAGAAAGGAAACCATGCTGCAGCAACAGCCAAGCCTTGATTTAATTCTCAAGACTACTTCATAAAGGCAAGGAAGGATTTTTTCTAAACCTCTTATTCTCTTTGACAGTTTCAATTTGAAAATGTTTGAGCTAGGAGGAAGAATGGAAAGAGAACAGTACTTCAGTTTCACCTGTGACCAATCTTTCAGCCCTCCATGTTGCTTTAACACTGTAGGGAGACAGAAATCACTACATCTTACCGATATCCAAAGACTTGCCCTGCTTTGGGTCAGCCTGAAGTTTGTTGTAGTGAATTGTCACTTCTCCCTGTAGGAAAAGCAAATTCAAAGCTGCTGCGCTGGAAGCAAGTGACTGCAGCTTTCCTTCACTGATGGATAATACAGTGTAAACGACGACCCAGAAGCTCCCCCTCCTACCTCTCACCTTTACCATCTGTATCATCTTGGCAACTTCCACTTTGGTCTTCCCTTTGACAGACTTGCCATTGACCCCTGTGATTTCATCGCCCGCTGCCACGGTCCCATCTAAGGCTGCTGGAGTGTTATCAAACACCTAGAGAAGGGGAGAAAAAGCACAAGCAGTCTGGAATCAGAAGAATGAAAAAGAACGGTGCAGGGCTGAAGAACAAACACCTGGCAGCTATACTTCTCCCACTTAACTTGGTTGTATCTACGTACAGTTCATAGTGAAGCATCAGTTTTTCTCCTAATTCTGAGGTGGGATGATCACCTTGCTCTCTCAGGAACTTTTTGTCTTCAAGACACGCCTTTTCATGCACAGGACTTAGAAGTGTCAACACTGTTCCCCTCTGAATTCTAACATGCTCTCCAAGAAGAATAATCTCAGAAGTCTTCATGTTATTCTTCCATGCATACTAGATGCTGGGCTAAGGAAATCTTATTTACTGTGAAGTGAAATATCTCAAACTTTGAGAGAAACAAATAGCACGGGGCTCTCCGTGGCTTCACCTCTCAGGCCAATGCCCTTTCATTTGCTCTTCCTCCCCAGGTGCCCACCTGGACAATGTAGAGACAGGGGCAGTATTGTGCTCCTCCCCCAATGCTGATCCCAATCAGGTTCTGGGAGTCCTTCTTCAGGGTCACTGTCCCAGGTACAGTGGGGATCCCTCTAGAATGAGAAAGGAGGTAATGGAAAACTGAACACAGCAGACAGAGCTGTACCTGTACAAAACAACTGTGGTATCTGTGACAATAAAAACTGAACACATGATAGACACTATGCATTTTAATTAAGCACATTATCTCTGCCACAGAGTGTATAAGCACATGACAACACAAAGACACTCTGAGCTGCTGTTTTTGAGACAGCACGCATGGAGCGAAGGAGGGAGAGATGCAGAGAGAACACTGCTTTGTTTTAGACAGTGTTTGGGCTGGTCTTTGTGCTGGAGTGAGAGATAAGTATGTGCAACATAAATGAGACTCCATGTCAAAGAAACTGCTGATTTCATAATACCTTTTTCTTGTTCAAAAAATTCCAGTGCTCCTTACAAACCCATGGGCTCCAGAGGTTTTCTTTCACTTACTGCTGCCTCTTACTGTCTTCCATTATAAACTTTTTTCTTCCTCCAGCTAAGGTCATTAATTTACTGAGGATCTGCTAGGACTACCTTGCAACAAGAAGCTCAGAGCAGTCCTTGGAGAGAGACACAAAGCCCTCTCATCTGCTCACTATCACAGCAATCTCATCCCCATTTCCCAAGGCAGCAGGAAGCCAGAACTGATAAGTGAGCCTGACCCTTTAGCACGTTTTAGAATCAGAACTGTTTGTTGGAAGGGAGCCTTAAAGGCCATCTAGACAAACCCCCTACAATGGACAGAGATGCCTACATCTAGATCAAGATGCTCAGAGCCCCTCCAGCCTGACCTGGCATATCTCCAAGGATGAAGCATCCACACCCCAGGCAACCTGCTCCTTACTGGACCTTCACTACACTTACTGTAAAATAAGTCTACATACACTCTAAATCTCTCTTCTAGTCTGAAACCATTTCCCCCTGTATCATTGCAAGGGACCCTGTTAAAGAGTCTGTCCCCTTTTTTCTTATAGTCTCCCTCCAGATGCTGAAAGGCTGCTCTCTGGTCTCCCTGGAGCCTTCTCTTCTCCAGGCTGAACAGTTCCAGCTCTCTCAACTTCTGCTCTCATAGGGTAGATGTTCCATCCCTTGGATCATTCCTGTGGCCCTCCTCTGCATGTGCTCTAACTGGTCCACGTCTCCTGTACTGTGGGTTCCCCATTTGGACACAGTACTACAGGAGAGGTCACACAGAATAGAGCAGAGAGGCAGGATCACCTTCCTCTCCCTGCTGACCACACTGCTTTGGATGCAGCCCAGGACACAGTTGGCTCTCTGGGCTGTGAGGGCACATTGCTGGCTCACGTCAAGCTGCCATCCACCAGTGCCCTCAAGTCCTCTTCAGCAGGGCTGTGCTCCATTCTTACATCTCCCAGCCTGTATTGGTAGTGGGAGTTGCCATGACCCAGGTGCCAGACCATGCACTTGGCCAAGAACCTCATGAGGTTCTTGTGGGTCTACTGCTCAAGCCTGTCCAGATCTTTCTGGCCTTGTCAGCAACAGAAAAATCTGCTGCCATTTGGTTTGAGCTGTGAAGACTATTTGTACATTGTTAGAAAAACAAAACAAAACAAAAACCAGATGAGGGCCATACTCACAGCTTATCTTCCTCAATATCATAATCCAAATCCGCAAACATTGTTTTCGCTAACTGAAACCTGATTGTCTGAAAGCACTTGTTGCAAACTCCCTGGGAAGAAAGGACAGAGCAAAAACCCCGTAAGGCCACGGTCTCTGCAGCTGACCACGGGCACCAACTTCAACTCCCATCCCCTCTATTTCTGAATGGCAAATCGCGCTCTGCCCTGATAATGGAGATGAGAGAGAGGCCAGGTCCCTGCATGCTCTGCTCCACCGCGCCCCAGGTGCAGCACTACACCCGTTGGCAGCCCACGGCCCGCTCCCCGCGGACCCTCCAGCTTTGTTCTCGGTTTCCTAGCAACTGACGTCACCCCCGATGCCTATCGCATGCAGAAGGCCCCGCTCTCCCCGCCCGCCTCTCTCGTGCTAGCAGGCTCGGGCCCAGCTCGCTGCCCCGGGCTCAGTCACGCTGCCGCCGCCCGCCCCACATCAAAGCCGAGACCTTTGACGGCGGCCGGGCCGACCCCCCCCGCGCCCCACGCGCGGCGCCGCTGCTGTCGTCACCGCTCCGATGACCTCACGCCTCGAGTACCCCTCGTCGCCTCAGCCGGGCCCGGGCCCGACGGCGTTGCCAGGGCAACGGCGGCGCGAAGGGCGACCTGGTGGTCCCGAGGCTCACCGGAAGTGACAGCCCGGCGCGCGGCCGTACCACCTTCAGCCCGCTGACGCGTCGCCGCCGGAGCCGGCCGGAAGCGCACAGCCAGGCCCCGCCCCCTCCGCTCGCGCTAGTGTTGCCATGGGGTCGCCCTCCCTCCTCCGCCATCTTGAGAGTGGCGCACTCGCCATTTTGAGAGTGGCGTGGGGTTAGCAGCTCGCTTCCCTCGGATGTTTGGGGATCTTAGCATCACAGTGTTGGAGTATAAGAGCAAGAGCGGGTTTTATTCATCAGTGTGAAGCCCTGGATCTGAGACATTATATATTAATAGAATCGTTGAATATCCCTAGTTAGAAGGGGACCCATAAAGACCATCGGGCTCCACATAGGACCACCCAAAACTCAGACCCTGCATCTGAGAGATGCTCCTTGAACTCCAGAGCCTCCCAGAAAGTTACACCAGCCGCCCGGCTGGCATTCATTCCTAAGGCAGCAGCTCCTCCGTGTGGGCGCTGCCAAGAATGGCTGCGGGAAGGCAGCGTGTCTGATGGGCTCTGCGTTTGTGCTTCTCCACTGGTGTTCGTATATTGAATGTGCCCCTCAATCTGCCCCTGAAGCATACCTGAAGTCTTTGTACACGCGTGCTGGGTGACCCTGCCTTTTGTGTGCAGGTCTTGATAAATGAAAAACTTAACATGAGCCAGCAATGTGCGCTTGCAGCTTGGAAGGTAAATGGTGTCCTGGGTTCCATCAGAAGAGGGGTGGCCAGCCGGGACAGGGAGGTGATTTTCCCCCTCCACTCTGCTCTTGTTAGGCCCCACCTGCAGTACTGTGCCCAGATCTGGAGCCCTCAGTACAAGAAAGACAGGGAGCTGTTGGAGAGGGTCCAGAGGAGAGCCACCAAGATGATGAGGGGACTGGAGCACCTCCCCTATGAATATAGGCTGAGGGAGCTGGGCTTGTTCAGCCTGGAGAAAAGAAGGCTGCGGGGTGACCTCATGGCAGCCTTTCAGTACCTAAAGGGAGTCTACAGACAGGAGGGGAATCAACTCTTTGAAAGGGTAGATAACAGCAGGACAAGGGGAAATGGTTTTAAGTTGAGGGAGGGGAGATTTAGGTTGGATGTCAGGGGGAAGTTCTTTACAGAGAGAGTGGTGAGGTGCTGGAACAGGCTGCCCAGAGAGGCTGTGGATGCCCCTCCTGAACCTTCTGAACCCTCCTGAACCAAGGATCACCTCCTTGAACCTGGAGGTGTTCAAGGCCAGGTTGGATGGGGCCCTGGGCAGCCTGGTCTAGTATTAAATGGGGAGGTTGGTGGCCCTGCATGTGGCAGGGGGTTGGAGATTCATGATCCTTGAGGTCCCTTCCAACCCTGGCCATTCTGTGATTCTGTGGTTGGATGCACTCTGCATGAGATGGAGAATGCGTGAGCCTGAGGGCTGTCTGTCTCAATACTAGAAATCTGATAGATCACCTCATCCCAAGGGGGAAAAGTAATGAAAATGATCATCTGAAATAAAATTAAAAAAACCCCACAACTATACTACTTACTGCCTACCAGTATAGTTTATATCAAGAGAGCTCAGCAAATACAGACCTTTTTTCCACCTTTAGATACACAATACAGCAAAGTCAGCCCAGGCTCCGAGAGTCAAACTCTCTTCTGCTCGTCTTTCATCACATGTAATAAGGAGTCTGCAAGCAGATCACACGCTGCATGACTAGTTGGCTTCTTGGCACTCTGATGTATTGCTCTGTGCTGGGTCTCTGCTGAATCTCGTGTTTCTGGCTGCTTTTCTGCTACTGTTGTCAGCTTAGAGTCAACGTGACTAACGCTGAGCTAACATCCTCCCCAGTCACTGTCCTTCAAGCATGTTTTCTGTTCTGGGGGATAAGTATGAGGATTATGTTCTTCTTCTCAGGCCAACCCCTGCCTGGTACTTCACAGCTTGTCTTGCTTCTGCTGGCTGCATATATCTTTGCATGGTACAGGTATGGGGCTGTTGGCCCCACTAAGGTGGGATAGAGAGACAGTCATATGCAAACTTATCACATGCTGTTAGCACATGCATCCTGTAGCTACAAACTCAGAGAGGAAGGAGTGAGAAATGTTAAAAAGGTGGCTACATAACTGCTTGTTTACCAACCTGTAAACCTCATCGCTGCCACAGTGGACATCTTATGAGGATCTCTAGGGATGAGGTATAGCTTCTGTCCACTGGCAAGCTGGAAATATCCCTCCCCACTGGAGCTCCAGGATCTGAGAGCTTGGCCCATACTGTTTCAAAAAGATACAATATTACTGCCCCTTGGAGTTCAGATGGAATTAATTTGGGTGGTGATATTTCACAATTTGTGGTTGAGACCATTTTTCTGTTTTTGCATTTCTTTTTTTCTGTTTTTTTGTTTGGTTGGTTGGTTGGTTGGTTTTGTTTGTTTTGCCTTGATTAAATTCATTTGCTTTTGAACTTTTTTTTTGTTCTGATGGAGTTTCTTGAATTTAGGATTATCAGAAGTTTATCCAGAGATTATTTTATTCTGATAAAAAGACCACTGTCTGGTAGACACACTGTATTTCCACTTGCAACAAACACATTTCCCCTTGGCATTGCTTCATTTCTTCTTCTACTCAAGGATATAAGTCTCAGGTACATCTGTTCCTTCCCACTGCTAACATGCTACTCAGTCCTTATCACAGAATTGAAAGGGACCTCTGGAGAACAAGTTCTTGCTAAAGCAGATTCCCTACAGTAGGTTACATGGGAAAGCATCCACATGGGTCTTGAATAACTCCAGCAAAGAAGACTGCACAGCCTCCCTGAGCAGTCTTTTCCCCTAGAAAGTCCAGTTGTTAGTTAGATCAAGGCATTAACCGTGGAAATGCAATATTTGCAACTTGGAAAAACAGTGATGCAAAGCCTAACAAGGTTTCTGAGACCCCGCAGGTGGAAAGTTTGGGATCTTGGCCTTTGCACACCAAGCACACGATCACACATTACTGCACAATCTAGAAAGACTGTCCATCTTGCAAGGTGCCACCAAAGCTCATGGTGCTCGGGTTAAGCCCTGAGGATGTGGAGCCCTGTGGTGAAAGAGCAATGGGGCGTACAGGGGGCCACATTTCACGAGCAGTGGCAGAGCGTAGGATGGGAAACAGGCAGAGGTTTGCCCTCATTATGCCTGGGTCTAACATGCCAAATTACCCCATCCTCTCCTCACCTCCTTGATGTAAAAGACTCTTGTTGAGAGTGGCCATAATTCACGGTGAACACCCTGCCTCCCCCTTACTCCCTTCACACCCGCTGCTCTCCATTTTCCTTCCAGAAAAAAAAAAAATGTGTCTTTGATGAAATGAAATGGCTCAGTCAAAGAACCCCTCAAATGATTGGGGACCCCTGCACTTGGCCACCCTTGCCCACTTCCCAGCTCTATTTCTGGCCGAGTTTGGAGTTTAAGTAGGCTGACCTTGTGCCCCGGCTGCCCTGGGGGTCAGTGATGAAAGCGGATGGAGGCTTCACAGTCAGGTCTCTTGTGTGTGACTCTTTTGTTCCCGGACAGGGGTGTGCAGTGCCTGGGACAGTGCTTAATTGTTCGGGGGCACTGCTTTACCCGTCATGCCCTTCCTCGGGTGGCCCCAGCCCTTCTTGCTCATGCGTGGGAGGGAGGCAGCTTCTCCACTTGGGGTAGGGAGGCGGAAACACAGTCTGGGTTGCTCGGCATCGTTTCTGGCTGTTTATTAATCCATGCAATAAATTTTAGAGTGCCAGGAAGCAAAACTAAAAATAAGAAAAAAAAAGAGGAATTCCTGGCATCATTCGCAAATCCTGTTTGTCACTGAGTGCGTCCTCCCTTGTCCCATTGCTTGGTCCATATGTCATGCTTCATGGATGCACCCTGGCACCACGGGCTTAGGGAAACAAGATTGGGCTTAGCCTGAAAGGAGGCGATGGGCTTGTGACAGGGAGTGCAGAAGTCTTGGGTTGGGGCATACTGACAAGGTGATGTTGGAGGAGAAAGCGAGTCCAAGACTGGAGGTGTTGGAGCTCCTGGAAAATTTTGCTAGGCCCAAGCTGAGCACCCACACCTGGCAATGCCCTGTCAGCATGCAGTGGGTTTGGCTGTAGGTAAGCAGGAGAAGGATGGCAAACAGCCTTTGGGGCTGATGATAAAGATCTGAAGGCTTGCAGACATCCGTGATGGGGATAGATAAACATGTGGGAAGCATTGTACTACTCAGTATCTCTTTGATGCTCCCTCTGCATCTTTCTTTTTGCAATGAGCCCTTCCCGTGCCTCACATCTTCATTGCAGCTGGAGGCTGGGCAGAATACTGCATAGCAGGCCGTCTTCTCTGCTGTTTCAGTGAGTGTCTGCACAAAGGAAATGGATAAAAGGAGTGGAGGGTCAGAGTTTAATTACCCTATTGTGTGCAGAGATGAGTGATGGACAGAGACTGTCAGTGGGTCACCAATTAGCTACTGTGGAGCAGACAGAGGAGGGGGAAATCGTGATGAGCCCCCTGGACAGAGCAGTGTTGGGGACAGCCAAGTGATAGTGAGACATGGAGATAACAGCTCAGAATGGGAGACCCTTTTTAATTGAGTTGCTCCCCCCCCCCCCCCGTCGTTCCACTTTGTTACTGCCACCATAAGGAGCCCTGTGGGCTCCAAACTCTGCTGGGCCCTGGGTGCTTCACTGGCCAGGGTGTGAGAGCTGCTTGGGTGGTAGATCCTCTGAGAGGATGTAGAATAAGGTGAGCCATTGCCTCCAACTGCACTGAGCTCTCATGACCTGGTGGGGCGGAGGCAAGGAAGGAGGCAAGGAAAGCAGGAGGGAAGGTAAGGAAGAAGGCTGAAGGAGGTGGCTGCTGGTGGGTGAGGTGTGGTACAGACAGGGCTGCTCTGTCTGGATGTGATGGTTTCAAGCAGAGAGATCTGCCCAGGAATCCTGTCTGAATCCCCACAGCCTCATCATGACCTGCCTTGAACATGGATGAATGTCTCAGCTAATAAATTACTCTCCCCCTTACAGTTCTGGCATTTGTTGGCTCTGGGGCTGAGAGACCAGGGTGATTCTCCTGGCAGAGCTGTGACCTGTT